TCCAGTCAGTTGTACCTCCACCCGTTTGTACATTAATGAGGAAATTTGAGACATATACAAGCAACCTTTCAGAGGACACTGTTTTTAATCTTCTTTCTTCTTGTCTTACTTACACCGTGATGATTGAATCGCTTTGTCAGTGTGAGTTTTACTGTTTCGTTTACGTTCTCGGAGCCTTAGGGTTTGCCTTTTAAGTTGATTTAACAATGAGGCACATTTGAAGGTTAGGTTGCCCCGTTTGCAGTAAGACGCAGGGCTTGCAAGTAGCTGTTCCTGAAAAATAAATCAGATTCAAATGCAGAAATCAACAAGCCAATTGAGTAGAAAAATTGCCTAGGGGCTTGTTTTTTTATTTTTTATTTTATGTAAATGTGCGTTAGGTATATCTTCAAATTGGTATGAATGCCTTCCTAACTGATTTATTGAGTCTTCTAGGACTTAAAGTCTGACTGGCAAAACCTTTGTCAGCACTGTATGTCCTCTCTCACTGTACCTTCTGCCGGTCTTGCTGAGAGCTACAATCACTAGTGATAAATAGACACTCCATTCCTAATCACTGCCATTGTAGTGCCATTACTGAATGGGCCACTCATTTCAGGGTTGGCAAGATAGCTCAGTTGTCCTGCCAGAGGCACTGGTGCTTTGTCTCAGAAAATGTCACCAGTGTGCAGAGTTTTCAAACGGAGCCAGTGTCATGCTGTTGTAGAATCAGAATCGTAGAGTTTTACAAAAGGAACTTATCAAATAAAACAAACAAAAACGGTACAGTATTTTTGCAAAATGTACTTCCCTTGCCTGTAAAGACCTATATTGTTTGTAAATGTAAATGGACACTGACTGTGACCTTGAAATTTTTAAACCCAATGTTGCAAGGCGTTGAGGAACTGGGTTCAAATGGCTCACAGTAGCAATTTTCAACATCCAATCCAGGTTGTATCTGTGTTTTACATGGTCCCTGAAGGTTCCATTAGAATCTTCAGAACATTTTCATGTTTGTGCATGTGCATGAATGAATGAATGAATCTGGACTCTGAAAAGAATGGATGGATCGATGGAATATTTTGTTGACGTGTCAAACAAACACGGTGGTTATAAATATTAATTATGTATTTATGTGAAGTACGATATAAACATGGTTAAAAATATGCATTTTTAAAGAGATGCATATAGAGATAAATAAAAGCATAGTACAGATGCCACTGACTCCTTAACTCAATTCTAGCAAATTGCCCTTTCTGCCACCAAATTGCAGTTTCCTTATCAACCACGCTCGAGCTAGCAATTTCCTTCTCAATGGGTCTCCAAGTCAAGGAGTGCCATTCTGCTTTAACCTTCAGCTGGCACAAGAGGCAGTAATTATAGTGACATACTGAGCAGTACCTCTTATTTCATATTTCATTTGGAAAATAAAATATAATGTGCATATTTCATCTTGAAATTGCAACATAGCAACAAGTCCTCTTGTTTTATTTTTCTAAAAAAAAGAAAGGAGAAAAGTAAAAACAAACACATGTTTTATTGTATTGTGTGATAAGACTGCCCAGCAGTAGATAAAGCTGGATATAGATCAAGACATTCATTTGTGTCTCTACTCCTACGGAGAAAATTGAAAAACGCCCAGAGTATATTAAAAGCAAACAGTAGTGTAGAGTGAGGACTGTTGAACAGAAAGTACAGTTTTGTTTGCTTTGTCTGTTTGCGATACTCTTAAGAGAAAATCAGAACAAGGCTGGCTGCTAATGAAAGCTGAGGAAAATTACCATGGGATCGGAACTGCACAATCTGCTCCATACTGTGAAGTCATCCCGCTGTACGTTTCCACATCTGTATGACAAAAGAGTCAACATATACTCGCCGTTTCTCTTTCTGGAACGGTTCTCCTAGCAGTTGAAACATTACAGGATAAATATCTGTACAGTAATCTGTAGACTTGGTCCAAAAATAATAAAATAAAAAATTTGAAACAGAATAGAATTCAATTTTTGAGACTCTAAGTGACCAAAAAAAATGTAAGCGGAGAAACTGATGGCACAATATTACAGCAGAGGTTCTTGAATAAAATCCAGCTTGAACCAAACTTGCTCCCTACTAATCAATACTGCCTTGTGGTTGCAAGAGACTTTCAGACAAAAGAGGAAACAAAACACCGGGGAACACGATTACATGGCTTTGACTTTCTAGCCTGACTTTTTGAGTCTGCCCTGGCTCTAGTCGTTGATTTCTTTGGAGAGAAAAACTCCATTACAACCGAGAGAGAGGAAGAAAGAGCACGGGGAGCTTTGTAGTTCAAGAGCTTTCCTTATTAGCACAGAGATAACCTGTATGTGGAAATGACTTGGGTGGATTTTTTAATTATTTTAAAAGTGCCACGGAAGTTTGTGCATTGCTTGAATTGCAAACATTACAAACACTTAATCTAGTGTTGTTTAAGTGTGCGTTCATATTAATGCCTCCCACAATTTTTATTGATTCATCATCTCTGTTTGATGCTGTCAAAATGTTATGAATACAATTAATTTCACTAATGAGAAATACGAAGGCTAACCAATCAGTCAAAAGAGGTTTTGCAGTTTTGTCACATCATCGCTTAGCAACCACTTTTGCTGTTTCCATGGGGATTGACTAAAAAACTGCCTTTATGTAAATAATAACACTTTGAGTCGCTTTGAAGTGGATTTTTTTTTTCTTTTTTATACTTTTATTTTCTAAAACTGTAGAATTGAGCTGTCTCAAATGTTTTGTTATTTCAGTGTTGTTTTTGTCAAATTAATGCCTGAATGCTTCAGCCATTCAGAGAGATTTGGTACTAGACTGTATAGAGATGGACAACATGAAAGCTCGAGCGCGTGAGACAATTATTTTATTAGATTTTAATAGATATCTATATTGGAGGTTCACGACAGTTTCAACTATGAGGTGGCAAGTGCTCGTTATCATAGCTAACATGCGTACATGTAAGTATTGCTTTTCTTGACTCACTATGTCTATACCAAAACCTAGCCATGCTAATTTGTTCAGTATTCTTGTGGGTAAAGTTTAGTGAGTCATCATTCAGATGGATGTTTGGAGATGTTGCCAAGATGGCTGCTGAGTGACAAGACTTACTTCTGGAAGGATTTTTGTGTTTTTGCTGTTGTTGTTTCCAGACTGACTCTGTTTAGTGGTTGCAGGGTTGCATGGTAATGGCAGTCCCAGGTTAGTGGATATGTTGATTAAAGTGCATGTGTTTTCACACGTTATTATTGGTTAGTATGGTTTAGGTCAGTTCGAGTTTAGTGACATACATTTACATTTTATTTTTATGTTAGAGTTAGAGTAACAATGATAATCCAGGTTGGGTTTGCTTCTATTAATAAGCACAGTGTAGTCTGTGTACTTTAATCCTCTCAGCCATTAGCCTCTCTTTTATCCAACAAGCATTTAAATATTTATTATTACCGTAAGCTACTACCTAATGCATCAGGTCGATGCTTGAAAATGGCAAGAGCAACAAAACAAAAACACTATCAACTCCTGTTTTGCATGTGCTAAAGCATTCGGTTTGCATAGTGGCATCTGCCTCTTTTTTGTGGGAACAAAAACATTAAATTTATTTATTTAATTATTATTTAATTCATTGTTTATTGGTCACCGAGTACAAAGACTTTTAAAGATGAACCACGGCTGTTGAATTCAGATGAAGTGGCCATGGTCACAACCCAATTTGCCTTGTGTTAATCCAGTATGACTCCTCTTATGCACTCACTCAGAATAACACCACGCAACGGCATTGCCTATTAGAAATTGCTTTTTTCTCCTGAGATATAACCACAGTTGTAATTTATTGTGATTATCTATGGTCCTTGTAAATAGAAGTCTCAAGAAATTAAGTTATGCTCCTGGTTATGCCATCTTTACATTTATTTTTTTTCTTCTTAAACTGGCAGTTGTGTGAGTATACCAGAGGGGAAGTTCAACTTAGCCACACTTTTGTTGCATTAGCTGGCTTGAAAAAAAAAAAACTTAAAATAAGTAAGTAATAAGTAAAATAAGTATCACAATGGTGGTTATCAACTTTTTCTGTGAAGTCGGGCTTTCTGCTTCAGGCTCTGTAAGATCACATGACTCTGCTTCTGCACAAATTGAGTGCCGCCTACTCTTTTCAGAGATGTCGTCAAGTGGTGATGATGAAATTGTGATAAAAATGTAAAAAGGAAATTAAAAATAGAACTGTAAAGTGCCAAACTGCTGCAAGAAGGACCAGAGACCGATGCTGCAGAAACTGTTAACCTTGGAATTTAGTACACAGAGCAGTAAAAACAAGCATTTTAATTAAGCCGATTGTTTTAGCACTGAGTGCGCTCTCAGTGCTGCTGTTCGTTCTAATGTGACCGCTACACATTAGAGCTCTGAAACTTTAAAGTGCATACATTTAAAGTCCCCTAACCTAATGAAGTAGTTGTGGAAATCACTTTAGTTTGTTGGCAGATGAAAATTACAGTGTTCTAGTAGCTGGTGTTTAAGAAACTTAGCACCAGGTTAGAATCAAGTATAAATATGTGCACATTCCAGTGACAATGTGGTGTACAGTTTAGCTTAATGCAGTCTAGCTCATTAACCCATTAATCTCACTTCTTAGTACACCACTCAGGAAAACCTCAGACTCTCCAGTAAACATCTTCATGCATTAAAGAATCTGAAAATCTATTAAACAACCAAGAAATGCTGATCTGCACACGTGAACATAATAAATATTCACATGACCCAGAGACTTTATGCCGTGTGAAATATTAAAATATTTATCTTCCCATCTGACTACACTACTCCAAAGACATCTCAGAGAGCAATAAAGCTACCACATAGCTCAGTTATTGAATGAAGTAAAACCATGAGTGGAGTAAAAAACAGTTCATGATGTCTTTAGTGTGTTTTTTTTCCCCCCCCCGTACAGCCACTTTACCCCCGACTGAGGACTTAAATATGACATTTGACAATTTGATCTCTCTCTCTTGGTTCAACAGAACGGCGAGGCATCACTGTTTGAGGTGAACATCCGTTACGTCGGCGGGTTGCTGTCGGCGTACTACTTGACAGGGGAGGAGGTAAGATTAATAGATGTCTGTTATCCCTCTACTCTAGCGAGATCTGCTGCTTCCTTTATCTCACACCAGGCCTGCAGTTTGAATGATGAACAGGCTGCCTCTGAGGGTGACAGCATTTGTGCACATCAGTGTGTTTGGGTGTATTTATGTGTCACTGCTGTGCAAGCATAAAATTATCTTGGGCCATTTCAGCATTTTCATGTTTTTGACTTTTCTGTTGTTTGGAATGGAAAAAAAACCGTCTGTGTAAGATATATAGGTAAGGGTTTGGATATGTACTCATCCTCACCAGTTTTATGTTGTTTTTTTAAAGGACCTGGTTGGTTTATACATATTTTTCACTGGATGTCAGCACATGTCCAACTTGTCTGCACCTCATGGTAATCTAGGCCTTATTTTGACAACCAAATAATCTTTCATCAAATTCTAAAAAATGACATCTTTTTTAAAAAAATGCATCACATTTAGTCATTTCCAGCTTTAAACAATCACATTCAAATTAATTTTGAACTGGAGCTGTTTAGTTTGTAGACATATAGATATTTCTGAGCTGTAGACGCAAAAAATGTAAAGAAACCTCACTTGCATATGAGAACGAGGGTTTGAAGAAGTAGCAGATGTAAAATGTATGGCTTGTAAGCTGCATTGAGCATAAAATTAATTAGTATCATATTATGGTAATGTGAGTTTTAATGAAGGCTTCATGTCAAATTCATCTGTGAATTTACTAGACTGACTAATCTGCCGGTCACAGATGCTGAAAGTGTGGAGAGCCAGTTACTCTTTACTAAAGAAGCAGAAATGCGCCTCCTGTTATCTCCCAGTGCATCGTACTTACCCTACATGATGTGTTTCTAGATGGTAAGGCAATATTGCAGTGCCAGGTTCAGGCTTATAAACTGCACACTGCTGTAGCTCCTGAGGCTAGCTGCTGATGTCCAGTAAATCCTTCCCAAATGATAATATTAAACTGTTGTTTCTGTGTGTTTTTAATATAATACCTATAACATGTGCAAACAGAAGCTTTGAAATTGTTTGTGTGGCTTTCTGGTAACCTGTTAACTACATCACAGAAACACTGCAAGACCTCAACTCATATTAAATGATAATTATAATGAGATATTAATAAATTGGAACTTCTGGAGGCTTTTCTTTTGCTTTTCAATGTTTCACTGGATTTTCGGGGGGATTTAACCTGAATTTTAAATTTAATCAGCCTCTAAGAATGTGCTTTTTTTGCTTTGTCGTTGTAGTATTGAAGTGTTGCTTAGAGGTTAAAGAGCCAAGCCTGAGCAATTTGATTAAATTTAGAAGGCAAAGTTGAATGGAAATTTTTTTTTTCCATTGCTGAAAAAGTACAAGAGCTGCGTCCTTGTAAAAGCTCCAGTCGCTCCAGCGAAGCTGTTCAGTGGCTCTGTATAAAGGCCCGAGGTTACGATGGACAGCATCCAGGTGTGAAGCTGTGAAACTGCACGAGTGTGAAGCTCGGCCATGTCAGGAAAAAAAACGTATGAATGCTCTGTAAGCCTTGGATGAATAAATAAAGGTTTAAAAATAGCCTGCGACAGCCACGCTGCACAAATGGGCCGATTCATTATCAGTACAGTGTGAAATCACTGGAGGTAAAGGTGTTGTCATAATGAGCATCTGCCTGTAGCAGCCCTGGAGAGCACGCACATGACATACACTGCAGTTGTAGTGTTTTTCGTGCAGTGGAAAAGGCGGAAATCTTCGTAGCAGCAGAATTAATGTGAAAGGATCCAGTGACATATGAACACTCTGTCGCTTTAATGGACATTGATTTGCAGGCCAAGCGAGCTGAGGGGAGAGCAGCATAAAATTGTCCGGCTCTGCTGGATGAGTGAAATATGAATACATTACTGGAGCAGAATATATTGTTGAATCCATTATTCCACATTTGCCTGCCATTAATGCCATGCAGAAAATATTCTTCTGCTTTATCCACTGGTCCATGGAACTTTTCTATATACGGCACAGAGAATGACATTTCGAATATGAGTGTATTCCTCATAAAGTTTGCTTTTGTCTCACCTTGTCACAGAAGGACATGGCTGCTAAGGAGCTTAGGTGAAGCAAATCTGTAGAAGAGACACCTTACTGCTATCTTTGCGTCATTTAATCTTCCCTTTTTAACCTCAGTCTATGTCACGAGTTTCCTTAATCTGTTTTGTTTGAATGACTCCAATCCTTTTACTACTTTCTTTTCTTCACATTTGGATTGCCTGACTGTTCACTGTACGCAGTCTCTCTTAAGAGATCGAGTACACGGCCTCTGTTTCCTGACAAACATACTGTATCAATACCCTTTACTCTGGTGCCGCTATCCATCACATGACTCGGCTGCGTGCTCTCTGTGAAGGTTCCCGGAAAACAAGATGGATAGCCATCTCTGATCCTCTGAGTCACCCTTTGGTTCTCCCATTAGGGGCTTCTCTTAGGAGCATGCAGTTCCATTCGAATGATAAAACCAATAGATTGAAGGTCTGTCACTGCGGCAGAGACTTAAATCAGTTGAGATACACTGTTGCGGACTATTACGAGATTGTGCATCAAGTTTGACCAGAGGACATTCGGCAGCTGGTGCTGCTGTAAATGATTGCCAGGAACTGCGTGATGATTATGGCTCCTTGCGGGACACAGTTTGCTGGAGAAATGCTTGGAGCAGAGCTGGAGAAACACCTGACCATTAATAACCTCCTGTTGTTTTGACCTAGTGGAATGCATTGTTTATGTGTGTGTGTTTTCTTGGAGCCCCAGAAGGCTTGTGGTTGGTCTTTTTTATGGAAGCAGTTTTCACGTTAAATGTCTTGTTCAATCGAGTCTGGCTGCTACTGCCCCACTCTTTCATCATTCACCAACACACACTTCTGGCAGTCCACATGGCGCTGAGAGCAGTGGCAACTACTCCAGCAGCTATCAGGAAACATTATTGCCCGATGGTGGACTTTGTGCACCAAAAGCTAATCTTTTTTCTGACTGTAACTTTCAATGTGTGTTGTCCTGATACAATCACAACTTTTGCTACCACAACCATAAACAGTCTTCAGCCTGTATTTAAAATGTGTTTGGTTCACTACACTAAATAGTTTTTTAAATAGACTCTAAATATAACAGATGTTTTTGTGATTGATAAATCATTATCCTAAAAAAATTTCCTTAAACTGGGAATCTCTCCATGGGTTCACATACTGGACATGCTCATTAAACACGCCTTGAATTTCCCCGCTTCTTAAGCACACCTATATAAGTATGCATGTCAGCTGGGCCTGAATTTCACCACTGCTTGGATTCATGCTGCATGCCTTCTTCCAGCCATCTCTGTGCAGTGGGTTTCATTTGTCAGTGTCCATTTATATGCAGTGTGTGTGTGTGGTGATGAGACCTTGTTGTTTCATCCCTTTTCCTTAGCAAGAGCACAGAACAGTGAAAGGAGAAAAAGTGGAGGGGAATAGGAATGAATTCAATCAGCCTTGTGTGAAAATTGCCAGCAGGGCTGAGCTGAAACAGAGAGCGAGCCAGCAGTCAGCAGTGAAGAAAGACGCGTGCTCATGTGGTCATCAGCAAAAGGAAATGAGGAAATGGAGCAAGAGTGCTCAGGAGAGGTCGCAAGGAAAGAAGTGTGTTTGTATGAAGGAGTGTAATGTTATCAGTTATATTCATGGGGGACAGAAGAGATTGAATCCTTCTCAGTGTTTGAAGAAAATAAAGTGATCATCTTTGGGATGGCTTTGAGGAGATTCCAAACATTGCAAACAAAATGCAGCATGTTTAGACATCACAGAAAGTATTTAAATATCCATTAGTTTTTATAAGTCTCTGATATAGAAGTAAAAAGCTCTTTGACTTAATTTTGTCATTAAATGCACTCAAAAGTTAAGTAATCAGTATTCTACATACAAGTTATGTAGAATAAAAAGTCGAGAACTTTTGTTGAATTTAAAGGTAATTACGGGTAATTACTTTACCCGTAATAATATAAAATAATAATACAAAGTTGTTTTTTCCAAAGGAAAGCAATCAATTGGTAAATGGCCTGTATTTGTATAGTGCTTTTCTAGTCCCTAAGGACCCCAAAGCGCTTTACACAACCTATCATCCACCCATTCACACACACATTCACACACTGGTGATGGCAAGCTACGTTGTAGCCACAGCCACCCTGGGGCGCACTGACAGAGGCGAGGCTG